AACAGTTACATCTATTGCAGAGAATCTAAATTCAGTTCCCCACACCCATACAGTTCACAAACAACTGAACTCCAGTCCCAGGAGATCTGATGCTCTCTTCTGGCCTCTGCGGGTACTGCATGAACTTGGCATGCAAACACTCAGGTGAGCAAACACACATACACATAAATTTAAATAAAAAGAATCTTTAAGATTACTTAAAAAACAAACAAAAGCTCCAAAACCACAGAGAAACCCTGTCTCGAAAAACAAAAAAAAAAACAAAAAACAAAACAACAAAAAAAACAAAAAACAAACAAAAAAGGTGGGTATGATAATTCATGCTTGTAATCCCAACACTGGGGAGGCTAAGACAGGCAGATCCATGGGCTCACTAGCTAGCCAGTCTAACCTATAGTGCGTTCCTGGCCAACTAGAGACCCCATCTCCAAAACTGAGGTGGATGGTGCCTGAGGGATGACTCCCAAAGTTGACCTCTGACCTCCACATGCTCAGATATGAACATGTGTGCACACAGACAAATCCACAGCACACACACACTGCAGGTCTGACAATTTAGAAGAACATATATGCATACAGACAAATCCACAGCACACACACCATAGGTCTGACAATCTAGATCAGTGGTAGAATGCCTAACATGTCCCAACTTTCTGTCCCCTCTTCTGTCTCAACACACAAGTAAAGAAAAAGAAGAGCTGGGGTTTGGCAGCACAAATCCGAGCAGCTGGGAGGTGGAGGTAGAAAAACAAGACATTCAAGGTTAATTTCAGCTACTTAGTCAGCCTGGGCTACTTGAAACCCTATTTTTGTTGTTGTTTTGACAACACAGGTTTTAGATACAAACATAACCTTGGCTAGCTTCAAATTTAAGAGTTCTAGGGCTGGGGAGATGGCTCAGAGGTTAAGAGCATTGCCTGCTCTTCCAAAGGTCCTGAGTTCAATTCCCAGCAACCACATGGTGGCTCACAATCATCTGTAATGGGGTCTGGTGCCCTCTTCTGGCATACACACAGACAGAATATTGTATACATAATAAATAAATAAATATTTTTAAAAAAATTATGAGTTCTACCTGCCTTTGCCTCCCAAGTGCTGGGATTAAAGGTATGCACCAAAATACCTATCTTGAAACCCTGTATTTTTTTTTTCTTTTTTGGTTTTTTGAGACAGAATTTCACCGGGTAACAGCCCTATCTGTCCTGGAACTCACTCTGTACGCCAGTCTGGCCTCAAACTCAGACATCCCCCTACCTCTGCCTCCTGAGTGCTGGGGTTAAAGGCTTGCGTCACCATGCTCAGTTGATTAGCTCTTTTTGGGAGATGACAGAATCTCACATATCCCGGAGTGGTGATGTTTTGTTTGTGATCTAACAATAAAGTTTGCCTGAAGATCAGAGTGCAGAGAGCCACTAGTTAGCCATAGAGGCCAGGCGGTGGTGGCGCACACCTTTAATCCCAGCACTCGGGAGGCAGAGGCAGGTGGATCTCTTGAGTGTTCAGTGCCACCCTGGGCTCACACAAGATTGATCCAGTTTAAAAGATAATTAGAGCCAGGCAGCGGGGGTTCACGCCTTTAATTCCAGCACTTGGAAGTCACATGCCTTTAATTCCAGCACTTGGAACTCACTTTAATTCTAGCACTAGGGAGGTGGAGACAGGAAGGGATATGGCTGGGTGGAGAAAGGAATATAAAGCGGGAGGAGACAGGCACTCAGGTGCAGTCTAAGGATGTGTAGAGACAGGATCACCCCTTCAGCCTGAGGATTCAGTAAAAGTAAAAGGTCTCTCTAGTGGCTGCCTGCACTGCTTATCTGATCTCTCAGCTTTCACCCCTAATATCTGACTCCGGGTTCTTCTTATTAAGAACAATTAGAATTTGTACTACATCCCAGGCCTGCTTTAAACACTCTATGGAGCTCAGGATGACCTTGAATTCTTAGCTTCTTGTCCACTTACTGAATGCTACGATTACAGGTCCTCACCATCATGCCCAGTTTCTGTGGTGCTGGTGATTCTGAAACTCCAGTTCCAGGGATCTGAGGCCCTCTTCTGGCCTCTGAGGGCACCCATCCACATCCAAACACATACAGGCTCACATACATGTGGGGGTCTCTGCAAACACTAGGACCAACAGAGTAACAGCCTGAGTGAGGCTCAACAGGACTCAGCAGCTAGTGCTGGCTTAAATCAAGAGTTTGACACCAAACAGTTTATTTTAGGCATAATTAAGTATAGCACAATTTGGAAAAAAGTTTTCCTCTAGTGATAATTAACTCAATCCCATGTGCACAATAAAGCTCAAGGCAGAGGTTAAGAGTGCTTCCTGCTCTTCCAGAAGATCTGAGTTCAGTTCCCAGCAACACCGGGCAGATCACAACTGCCTGTAACTCCAGTTCCAGGGGACTGAACACCCTCTTCTGGCCTCAGTAGACTTCTGAGCACACATGAATACATTCACAATATTTATAGTCATAAATATTTTTTAAAACTAAATCTAGGGCTGGAGAGATGGCTCAGAGGTTAAGAGCACTGGCTGTTCTTCCAGAGGTCCTGAGTTCAATTCCCAGCAACCACATGGTGGCTCACAACCATCTGTACTGAGATCTGGCGCCCTGCTCTGGCGTGTGGGCATACATCGAGGCAGAATGTTGTATACATAATAAATAAATAAATATTTAAAAAAACAAACTAAATCTAAAAGAGTAAAAGCATTCAAAATGTTTAAAATAAAATTTTAAACAAGAATAGTATTACATGCTTCTACTCTCAGAACTTGAAAGGCAGAGGCAGGATGACCAAGAGTTTAAAACCAGCCTCACGTATATAGTAAACCTGCAGCCAACATGGGATACATGAGACTGTATCTAAAAAATCCAAAAAGCAAAGAATAAAAAACCTTAGTCCTAAAGTCAATCTTGCTAGCTGCAATGAAGCCTGTAATCCTAGCACTGGACAGATAGGAATCCAAGCCTAGGCTGAGCTATGTGAGACTTAGTAAAATGGAAGGGGAAGGGTGGGAAATACGAAGCTATGTAGCCCCGGATGACCCTGAATCTGATCCTCTTGCCTCTACCTCTCCAGTGTCGGGATTAACAGGCTTGCACCACTTTGTATCACTTAGACAGTGCAAGGATAAACAACAGGGCTTTGTGTGCTAGGCAAGCACACCTTCAACCGAGTCACGGAACTAAAATCCCATAGAGTAGGTCTTAAATGTTTAAGATATAAGGCAAAATGGACATGGGGCGGGGGGGTCTCAGGTCTTTCATTTCAGCACTGCTGAGGCAGAGGCAGGCAGAATTCTGTGGGTCTGAGGCCAGCCTAGTCCACAGTGAGTTCCAGGCCAGCCAGCACTACATCGTAATACTCAAAAAGACACAAGAGCAAACAAGATGTAATACAAGGAGTTGAAGAAATGACTCAGAAGTTAAGAGCACTTCCTGATCTTCCAGAGGACTTGAGTTCAGTTCCCTGTACCCAAGCACCTTGACAACTGCCTGGAAGGCCAGCTCTGGAGGATTAATTTGGTCGCTGCAGGCACACACACATATTTAAAAAAAAAAAAAAGATTTAAAGTGTGCCGGACAGTGGTAACACACTCCTTTAGTCCCAGCACACAGAAGGCAGAGACGGGAGAATCTCTGAGTTCGAGGTCAGCCTGGTCTACCTGTAGACCAAATTTCAGGACAGGTAGGGCTACACAGAGAAACCAGGTCTCGAAAAACAAACAAACTGTATGGGGAAGGGCCAGCCAAAGAAACACACCCTGACCCTGAAACCAGAGCTAAAGAAACACATTTTGGCCATAGAATCAGTGCAGTGAAAGAAATATGTCCTGGCCCTGAAATTAGAGCCAAAAGGCTAAAAAGGGCCAGTGAAAGAAACACTTTGGCTCTAAAACCAGAGCCAAATCTACCCCTAAGCAACTAAGCAAAAAACAAACCAATCCCTGAGCAGAGATCTAGCCAGTCTGAGCTCAAGGGACTGAAACCTGACCAATTCCCAGCCTGAAAATCTTCTCCCTGGAAAAACTCTGCCTCTAAGAAGCTCTGCACCCGCTGAGTTTGCTGCTATCTTCTGACCCCTGCAGAGGCAGCCGCTCTCCTGGACTCTTCCCTCTCGAAGGATGCTTGGGTGAGACCTCCCTTTACAGGAATGGAGTGCACGAGAGAAGTAACAACTTTTGCCCGCAGCAGAGCAGGACTATACTCCCCCACTTCCACTCGGGTTTCCGCTAGGCACAGTTGTTACGGGGGGGGGGGGGGGGGGGGGCGGGACCAGAGTAGATCTGTAACAACTTCGCCGGGGGAACCCTCTCCTGACGGAGGCGCAGAGCTGTTAGATTGGGGAAACCTTTCCCTGGGGCAGGGCTGTAACCTGCTCTGCCTACCGTGACCACCTGTGCTTGGTTCCCAAGTGCCAGAATACTTTTCCATCCAAGCCGTAATACTTAGCATTCCTTGGCTCCCGACTGCCAGGATCCCTTTCTATCTGAGCTGCAATGCTTACACAAACAAACAAAAAGACTTAAAAGGCAACATGAACCTAGATACTAAGATGGAAATATTTAATATATTAGAGAGATAAAAAGGCATATGTGGGGGAAATAAAATATAAAATAAAATGGAAATAATTAAAACAAGATTTCAAAACTAAAAATTAAAATGTTAGCTTAAATATATTATTTTAAATATTACTAGAATGCCAGTTTTGCTCTTGTTTTGTTTTGAGACAAGGTTTCTCTATAGCTTTGGAGCCTGTCCTGGAACTAGCTCTATAGACCAGGCTGTCCTTCAACTCACAGAGATCCTCCTGCCTCTCCCTCCTGAGTGCTGGGATCAATGTTATATTTTATAATATATGGCCACGCCTGGTCATATATATTAACAACTACCGCCTCCCGCATTAAATGTGCACCTCTACGGCACCGATTACAGTCTTCCAGTCTAGTTCCTAGGCTCCCTTACCTGAGGTCCCCGAGGTTTCCGCCGCGCAGGCAGCACTCTAGCCAGCCCGCCGCCCGCGAGGACCCACAGCCAAGATGGCGGCGTCCGCCATGCAGGCGCGCCGTCTCCTGCGGTTCTCCGTGGCTGTGGGGCCCAGATCCTGTAACTACCGTGCGCCGCCACCCCCGCGCCGCCACCCCGAGCCCCATTGGCCAGACCCGGAGAACCCGCTGAGCCCACGATGGCAACTAGGGCCGCGGTACGCGGCCAAGCAGTTCGCGCGTTACGGCGCCAAGTCCGGGGTGGCCCCCGCCTCCCTGTGGCCGTCCCCGGAGCAGCTGCGCGAGTTGGAGGCGGAGGAGCGAGAATGGTACCCGAGTTTAGCGACCATGCAAGAGTCGCTGCGCACACAGCAGCAGGCCGAGGAGGCAAAGCGTCGTGCCAGGTGCGTTATGGGGGCAGGTAACCCACGGCCCCGAAACCACGAATCCTTCGTTAAAGACATGCGGAGCCCTTGTGGTGTAGGGTTAACATACATGTTCACCTGGCTGAAAAACAAAACTTCTGGCCGGGCGGTGGTGGCACACGCCTTTAATTCCAGCAATTGGGAGACAGAGATAGGTGGATCTCTGTGAGTTCGAGGCCAGCCTGGTCTACAGCGCGAGTTCCAGAAAGGCTCCAAAGCTACAGAGAAACCCTGTCTCGAAAAACCAAACCAACCCCCCCCCCACACACACAACTGCTAGGTAAATTCTTGTAGTCACTCAGCTGCAGTTCTTGTGTTACTTTCCCCCTTCCTTTACTACTGAGCTGTATCACTAGCTCGCCTTATATATACATAAGGTCTCACTGTTAACCATAACTCGTTATGTTTCCAGACTGGCACTGAATCTAGAATCCATCTACCTTTACCTTCCCTGTATCTGAGATTACAGGCCTGTACCAGGCCCAGCCTCAACTATTTTATCTTTACTAACATTCTGTGCAAGAATTGGAGGATCCACACAATGGGAAACAAAACAGACAAGAATTTCACATGACGGGGCCCTCAGAAGGACAAAACACGGTTAAGAGTGCGTGCTGGAGCCCGGCAATGATGGTGCAAGCCCAGCACTCGGGAGACAGAGGCAGGTGGATCTCTGAGTTCGAGACCAGCCTGGTCTACAAGAGCTAGTTCCAGGACAGGCTCCAAAGCTACAGAGAAATATTGTTTTGGGGGGGAAAAGTGCATGCTGGGGCCAAGCAGTAGTAGTGCACACCCTTAATGCCAGCATTCGGGAAGAAGAGGCAGGCGGATCTCAGTGAGTTCGAGGCCAGCCTGGTATAGAATGAGTTCCAGAATAGCCAAGGTTACAAGGTTTTTTATCCCAAAAAAAGGGGAGGGGGGTAAGCATGCAGGAGAACATCTGAGTTTGCTAGCCCTTGTATGTTTAAGCAAAGCCCCATATAACCAGTTATAGTTACTGGGAAAATCTTGAGTTCCCAGAAGGAGAACAGGTGGTGCAAAGGTCCTGAGGTTGAGCCAAGCCTAGTGACACATGACTGTCACTTTGGAGAAGGCGTGGTTCAGAGGCAGGGTGTGAGGTCTGAGGACAGCCCTCACACCTATCAGTGAGACCCTTTATTTATCATAAGGAAACTGGGCATGAGGAAAGCACACCTGTAATCTTAGCCATCTGGAGCCATCTATGTAGACCAGCCTCATCTACATAGTAAGACCCTATCTTTGAAAAAATTTCAAGCCAGTGGCAGTACAGGCCTTTAATCCCAACACTAGGAGGCAGGGGCAGGTGAGATCAAGGTCAGCCTCTATACTACAGAGTGAGTTCCAGGGCAGCCAGGACTGCACAGAGAAACCCTGTCTCAAAAAAACAAAAAAGAAAGGAAATTAATTTAAAAAAAAATGCTTAGGGGCTGGAGAAAAATGGCTCAGCGGTTAAGAGCACTGCCTGCTCTTCCAAAGGTTCTGAGTTCAATTCCCAGCAACTACATGGTGTTAGGAGATCTGGCGCCCTCTTCTGGCCTGCAGGCATACATGCAGAAAGAATACTGTATGCATAATAAATAAATTTTAAAAAAATGCCTAAAGTGTGCCCTGAGGCACTAGGTCAGTGTGGCTGGGTAGTGGAGATGAGAATGGTGCTGGGCCCCGAAGTCCAGGGCAGACATCAGCAAAGGAGGAACATGTGCACGATCAGATCTGCGGGGGAAATGGAGAAAGTCATAGACATCTGGATGATGCCACTTCTGGTGCAGGGTCCAAGGCAAGTGAAATGTGTTCCTGGTATTTAACCTGTCCTCTCAACTTTGAATTTTGTCCAGATGAAACTGAGGCCTGGAGAAGCCAGGTCAGCTGTCCAGAGTCACACTGTGAGTGTAGAACAGCGCTGGTTCCCATCTGTCCCACCCTAGCTGGATGGATAGTCCTTTCCTGTTTTAAGGCTTGATTCTTTCAGTTTTACTGTCTTAAGACTGAGATATGAGTGTAACTAAGAAATTCACAGGGCTGGAAGAAAACATTCATCTAGTTGTTTCTGTGCCCGAATTTGGACCTGGCAGACACAGCCACAGGTAGGTGGAATCCAGGGTCGACTTGGTCTGCCCCTTACTGCCTGCTTTCCTCTGCAGGGAGCAGCACATCTCAGAGTGCATGGCCAAGATGCCACAAATGATTGAGAACTGGCGACGGCAGAAGCGGGAACGCTGGGAGAAAGCTCAGGCTGATAAGGAGCGGAGGGCCCGGCTACAGGCTGAGGCCCAGGAGCGCCTGGGTTACCACGTGGACCCAAGGAGTGCCCGCTTCCAGGAACTGTTACAGGACCTAGACAAGCAGCAGCGCAAGCGCCTCAAGGAGGAGAAACAGCGGCAGAAGAAGGAGGCACGAGCTGCTGCAATGGCCTCTGCCGAAGCCCAGGACCCAGAAGTGTCTGGGGAGCCCAGTTCCTGAAAGCCCCTTTCCCAATAAAACCTGCTGCTGACAGCTCTGTGCTATACATTCTCCCTCAAGTTGTGACTTCCTGGGCCCCCGGCTCATTCCACAACACCTGGGGTGGGAGAATGCTCCACTGGGCTGTGTTCACACCTGGACGCTAGGCCATGCCATGAACTGGGGCTTCAGGGACATAGAAAGGGGAATGGATGGGCAAATAATGAAGGAGCAGATGGCGGTGGAGAAGGAGGCTTCTGTTTACCAACATTAATCTCCAGTAATTAGCCAATTACCGGGGGGAGTACAGCCAAACAGACTGCATGATAGAGGGAGCAGCAGCCCTTCTAGGGCTAAGCTGGGGCAGGGGCCCAAGTTTCCAGAGGGAAGAGATGCTGGGGCCCCCATCTGTGAGGCTCACAGGCATCTTCCCCACAGCTTGGCATGCCACGTCACCTGTGCCCCAGCTAGCTCACAGATTCATAGGCTGCTGTGAGAAGCTCCAGTAGGCAGGCACCATTATTAGGGCTCACTTTTAAAACTTTATTCACTTCAAAACCTTTATCAGAGATGTGGTTCTGTCCTGGGGCAGGGGTAGCCTTGGCCTTCAGAATTGATGTTACCTTCTTCTCCAGGCTGGAGGCCAAGGCCGGTCTGGGGAGAAGGCCTTGGGCTTCTAATGAACTCACTCCAGATGGAAAGATTTGGGCCACTCCAATGGAGGATAAAAGTTTAGGGCTCCAGCTTCCCCTCATCATGGAGGAGGGAGGTGGGTTGTCCTTGGGGATGCTTCAGGGATGGGGAAGCAGGCAGGCGCCTCTCCATCTGGCTGCAGGGAGCTGGGACAGAGGCCAAGAGGGGCCCATCTGTCGCCTCCTGGTCTTGCCAGCAACTTTGAGCAGGCTGGGCTCTGTTAAGAGGATGGGGACAGCTGTCTGGCCCAGGTCTTGTCGGACTGAGATGGGAATAGGGGCCACTTCAGGAAGGTGGGAATCTGGGCAAGGTGGTGGTTTTTCTTTTTCTTTAAATGGTTTTTGATTTTTTCTTCCTCTTAAATAAACATGAATACATATATGTGTGTGTATATATATATATATACTTTCTCTTTTATAAAACTTTTGTGGAGTGGGGTGGGGGCACTCCAGCCTCCCAGCGTCACTCATCATCAAAGTTCTGACTCAGGAGGAAGTTGGCAGCCAAGTTCTCATTTTTTTCACACGCGAAGTAAGCCTGGATCACCAGGCTCTCTGGGAAGCCCAGTGCCTTCAGCTGTGGGAAGATGGGCAGGGTAAGAAGGAGGGAGGTATGGGGCTGCCCACCATGAGTGGCTCTTCAGCCAGGCCTCTTACCCTTTCTATAGCTTCCTTCTCCTGCGGCGTCACCTGGATATAGTTCATCTGTGGGGCCTCCTCCCCTATGGCACCAACCTCGCCCTCTACATCAGAGACATCCGGCAGCTCCCCAGGGGGCTCATTCAACATCTGGATGAACTGCTCCTGGTGACGGCTAATTTGCTGTGAGGAGAAGGGTGACAGTCCACAGTCCTTGCCGCGTATGCCCAGGTCCCATCACAGCCCTGCTTACACACACTGTCAAACACTCTGAAGGTGCCTACTCTGGCCAACAGTCATGGAATCATAGAAATAAACTGTCAAGGTAGGGCTAAGGTGCCAAGCTGGGGAGACGGGCATGGTGGCACACACCCTTAACCCTGGCACTTGGGAGGCAGAGGCAGGAGGATCTGAGTTTGAGGCTGGCCTGGTCTACAGAGGAATTTGAAGCTAGCCAGGGCTATGTAGTGTCTCAATTAAATGTCTCAGTAAAACAAACGAAGTAAATGTACCAAAGCTATGCATGATGGGTCATACCTGTAATCCCAGCCCTCGGGAGGCTGAAGCAAGAGGATCACCATGAGTTTGAAGCCGGCCTAACCTATATAGTGAGACTAAATAAAAACAAAAGTTCAAACCAAGTAGCTGCAGATATGCTAGTTAAGTTATTGAGGCCTTTTGGGAGGGATCAACTGTCTCGCAGAAGAGAGGAGCTTGCCTCTGGCTAAAACAAGCACCAAGTGAAAATGCCCTGGGTGGATCTAGAGGGATGGCAAGTCCCAGAAGAGCTCTGTGGCCACATGAGCAGCACAGAGAGTCTGGGAAGACAAGGGGGAGTGCAGCTTGGGTGCCTCTATCACATTGCGAGTGGACCCAGGCCTCAACCTGCTAAGTACTAGCACTCCACTACTGAGGCACACTCTCAACCTGTGCAACCTTTATCTTTTTTCTTTCTTTTTTTGAGATGATCTCACTATTTCAAGGAGCTGACTTCAAGTCCAGTGATCCTCCTACCTCAGCCTAAGTGCTGGACTACACTACCACGCTCAGCCTGAGTCTGTTAAATACACTGTACTTGGAAATCTAAAGGTTCTGATGCAACCCTTTGCTTCTGCAGACATCTGACAATTTAGCCTCTTGGTGGACAGTCACCAGGGGCATGGTGTAGAATGAGGAGACACGAGAGAAAGAAACAGGATATTGGGTGGGCAAAGTGGCTACCACTGGGGTAGAAGCAGAGACAGTCCCCAGGAGGCTGTCCGAGGCTCAGGGCAGAAACAAACAAGTGGGCCTGAAAACTCAGAGGTCCAGGAAGTCCTCTCATAGTTCAGCCAAGAGCGGTACAGGGGTTCTGGTGTGATGACACAGGTTCAGGTCAGATCAGGAAAAAGACAAGACTGAGAAGCAGGGAGAGGAGCTACGGTACAGCAAGAACTCAAGAAGACTGCTGAGCCGGTTGGTGGTGGCGCACGCCTTTAATCCCAGCACTGGGGAGGCAGAGGCAGGCGGATCTCTAGAGTTCGAGGCCAGCCTGGTCTACAGAGCTACAGAGTGAGTTTCAGAACAGGCTCTAAAGCTACAGAGAAACCCCATTTGAAAAACAAACAAACAAACAAAAATACTGTGGCCAGAGTCTAGGACCCAGATGTATGGCAGGAGGCAGGCAGGCTGCTTTGGTGCTCTGGGCCTGACCTCTTCTGCAGGGGGATGTCAACAGCATCTGTACCTCATTGAAGTCCAATTACACATGACCTTGTCGGTCATCAGACAGCAAGGGACTGGACCTGTGCTATTCTGCTTTCTCAGAGCAAAGCTATGTCCCTGGGTGTTCCCCTAAAGAACTAGAAAAGGCATCTGTCTCAGTTCCCTCGCCCTGGAATGCACCTGCAAGAGCTGAGGGTTCTCCTGGCCCAGCTGCTGGAGCAGTGCAGGGAGTAGCGCTGGGTTCTGCTGAATCACTTGCCGCATGTTCTGGAACTGGGGCTGGTCCCGCAGGAACTCCAGGGGGTTCTCCACTGTTAGTGGCAGGAAGAGGTGTGGTGAGACCCCTGCAGGGCTCCTGAGCTAGACTGTAGATGCCCACATGCAAACTGTTCATCCTGCTCACCTGTTTCTGTGGCCGGCTGTTCTGGTACCTGGCTCTCCTGGACAGAACCATGTTCGGGCTCAGGGCTTCCGGGAATTCCCTGTCAGGGATCCTGCTCTTTAGTTCTCTCCAACAGAGCCACTTCCCCCTCCCAAATTATCAGCCTGATAGGAGACAGGAAGGCCTCATCCCCGCCCTCCATGTTCTCTGTCCTGCCTCTTTGGGAAGCCTCCAGTGGCAACAGAAGGACCCAAGAGCCTATGGGGAGGTTCCACTTCCATTTCTGTTGAGGTACCGAGACCTGGAGACTCCCTCACCGTCAGCAAGTACTCCACAGCTCTGTGGGGGTTGTTGTAGCTGGCCCTCAGCGCGGCCACAACCCGTTCCCGCTCGTAGCCCATGGACATGATCTCGGTCAGCATCGTCTCATACTCAGAGCCAGTCACTGTGGAGGGAGCAGCAGGGCTGGGGTCACCAGGAGCACAGAAGGGCAGCTCCCAGGCCCTCCCATACCCAGACAAGGCTGTCAAAGGCTGATGGCTGGGGCTCCCAGTCACCTCTGCCCTGAGGACCACCCACCCACCTAATGTGGAAGCTGCGTCTTCCTCTCGCCCGCTGCTACCTGAAGAAGGAACAGAGCTGCAAATTCAAGAGAGAGAAATCGGACCCAGGCTTCTGGTGGCTTGCCCTCCCGGCAAGTGCATGGGACCACACTGGAAGGTGCAGAAGACAGGGCACAGGTAAGGCTACTGTCCCTTCCTTACCCAGAAATGGATTCTGGAGATGTTGTGGTGGCTGAATCTTCTGATGGGCTCTTGTCCTCGCTGCTGGGAGGTGGAGGATGGGACATCCCTGATGCCGGGGCCGGAGGGAAAGGTGTGGAGGATTCCGAGGCAGCAGTAGGTGAGACCTCTGGGGGTGCTGGAGTCCCCTGGACAGTCTTGGTCTGTGACAAGAAGAAGAAGGGATCAGGCAGCAGCATCCCTATCAAGCCTCAACATCCTGCCCCATCACAGCCCCACCCTGCCTGTGGCTAATCTCTCCTGGACACACAAGCTCTTTGCCAGCATCCCAGCTAATCTACCCACCTTGGTCACCATGACAACCACAAAGTTCTTCTCATCTATATGGTATTCCTTGATGGGGACATCGTCACTCAAGATCTTGCCAGCATAGATGAGCTTCTGTCCGGCCACAGGGAAAGCTTCTCTACCCTTCTCAGCTTCTATCTTTTCCTTTAGCACCTTCACCTGGAATAAGGAGTAAGGTATTATAAACAAGACTAATAATGTATGTGTGTGTGTGGTCACAAGTAGCACCAGCACTCAGATACCCTCAGTGAAGTCTAAGCATGGTGGTGCACACATTTAACCCCAACACGGGGGAGAGACTGAGTTCCAGGCTAGCCAGAGCTACATAATGAAGCTGTCTCAAATACAATAAAGACTCCTTTCCTGACCCTTTTACTCTAGGGAAAAAGCTTTGCTCTCAATCGTACAAGATTCCGATTCATTCTGGTCAGCTGACAGCAATCTGTTATAGGCCAGACACTGAAGCTGCTCAGTGTGTGTCTGTGTGTATGTTCACACCTAGGTGTGATGGTGGTGGTTTAGGGATGGACCCCAGGGCCTGTTTATACTAAGTGCTCTA